TACACATTACACCTGATCTTGCAAATTAATTGGTTAATTATATACTGGTGATGATTACCAGTGGTGATAAATAGCAAACTCCAAATAAAAATATAAAAAGATTATTTTAAATTTTAGATATCAAAGCAATACACAAATATTTTCTATAATCATCTTATCAAATCAAAAATCTTTTTAATTTTACATATTTATGAAATTAAATAAAAAAAAGTTTTTCAAAAAAAAACTTTTTAAAAAAAATTATAAATACTTAATTTACTAATAAACAGTACTTTTTTTTAAAACTTTGAACAAAATTTTCTCAATAATAACTATATAAATTCATTACAAAATCTTTATATTTAAATACAAATTCTTTTAGTTAAAGTATTTTAACTAATTTAAACTATTTAACTATAAAGGTTTGAAAATTTAACTACTAAAAAATTTTTAAAAATATTTTACAAAAGATCAAATTTTTTTTTAATTTTTATTTCAAAACTTGCTACTGTTTGTTTTTTTTTATATTGATAATTAAGCTAACTAATTGCTGTTTAATATAATAAACAAAAAAATATTTCTTAGTCTAAATTTTATTTAAATTTATATTTTTGTTTTTAAAAAATTTATATATAAGAAAAAATGATAAAAATTTTTTATCAAATTTAATTAAACAAATAGTAAAATACTTTTAATCAAAATTTTAAAAAGTTTAAAATATCTAGCAAAATCATAATAAAAATTTACTTTAATCAAAAATATAATATACTGTAATAACTATTTAACCAATGTTTATACAAACCTCTAAATGTATTGTGACAAAACCATATAGTCATATGGCATTTAGAAGGATATGCATTTAAGAAAGTTGAGCGTTTAGAAAGGTTTTTCATAGGGCATGTATTTAGGGGGGTTGCATTTAAAAGGCCTATAAATTGTTTTCTATCCTCCAAAATCAATATGTAAAAAAAATTTTTTTATTAAATTTGATCAAGTGAATGCTAAAATACTTTTGATCAAGCTTCAAAAAATTGTATCGCAAATAATCTAGAGGTGGGATAAAAATGAAAATTCAATTAAAGCGAATATTCAGATAAATAAAATTTGTGAATAGTCGAGGATTAGATTAGTTGCTCAAAATTTGTGAATAGTCGTGAATATTCGATGAATATTTGCCAGATTATAGCGATAGCTAAAATAAAGTAAATATTTATTACATGGCAGTCGTACTAATTGATGATGCGTTTATAGAAATAAAACTCAACGATAAATTATAGTTTAATTTTCAGCTACCCTGACAATTTGGTTTGTCAAATGTTAATAGACTTTATTTCAGACAATTTCTAAAACATTCAATACTGTATTAGGAAAAATCATCCAAATTTCGTTTGTCATATTTAAAAGAATGTTGCGTGGTAAAAAAAAAAAAAAAAAAAAAAAAAAAAAAAAAATTAAAATACCACCCCGTTAAAACATCCCATATACTACAATAATCTTAAAATAATTAAAAATTGATGAAAATTGTGTATAACACGAATAATTCTTAATTTCATAATATTTTGGAATGAACAATAGATACTTCTAAAAATTATTTATTCTAAACTAAAAAAATTATTATTAAAGTTTGGCTCCAGCGAACTGTGCAACTTTTAGAGATTGCCTGACACCCAAATCGAGCATAATTTCTTCAGATCCACCAGGAATTGCGTAAGCACGTACTTCACGATATAAACGTTCGACTTTTTCGCCTTGACTGATGGTCATTAAAAATAAATATATTAATACGCGATTTCAATACAATACATTAATACATAATTTCAATAAATTAATACACGATTTCAATTATTTACGTACCCGCCACGACTATAAGCTAAACCACCAAAAATTTGGGCGGCTTCTCGAGCACAAAATTCAAATGTTTGTGTTGTTTGTGCTTTCAATAACGCAATTGGACCACCGAGTCTTATCATTGCATCTTCTCCTTCCATAAATCTTGTTTGGTAAAGTAGAGATTCCATCCAAGCATGAGTAGCTTCAATTTGTCGAGCCATATGAGCGAGTTTATTACGAATAACCGGATGATCAACGAGTCTTTTATTGAAAGTCTTTCGTTTATGAGCATATTTCATAGCTTCTTCATAGCATACACGAGCAAATCGGTTGGCTTGAATTGCGATCCCCATTCGTTCATGATTAAAGTTATGCATGATGCACTAATTTTATGAAATTAATGATAACAAAAATAATGCGACATTAACATTATTACTTTAGATTTGTAAAATAAATCGAATAGTTATTATAAAAAATAGAATTACCTTAAATCCACCATTTTCCTTTCCAACGATATTACTTTTTGGAACCTTTACATCTTCAAATGTGACATAAGCGGTACCTGAAGCCCATACACCTGAACATTGCATTTGACGGGTCTTAACACCTGGTCTCGATCTCTCAATCAAAAGAAGAGAGATTCCACCCATCCCTGGACCACCCGCGCGCACCGCAGTGGTGAAATAGTCAGCCAATACACCATTTGTGATCCATTTTTTCTCTCCGTTAACTATATAGAATTCGCCATCGTCCGTAAGCTTTGCTTCAGTTCTAATATTGGCAACATCGGATCCAGCATAAGGTTCTGTAATAGCAAGACAAATATTTTTTGTTCCTGCATAACATTCTGGAGCAACCCTCTGTTTGAGTTCATCAGACCCAAATTTTATGATGGGTGGAAGACCGATACCCAAACCTATATTAA